AAATGATCCAATTATAAGTCCGGTTGTAGGGTCTTCCATATCTTTTCCTTGTAAGAGTAGGAAGTGTGAGAGTTCTGTTGCCCATCGTTCAAAGGCTTCAGGTTTGAGGTCCTTTCCTTCTCCCGTGAACTTTGCTGGGAGGTGGAGTTTAAACTTAGGGGGTTCAAATGCTGCAGGTACCTCCTCTTCTTCAGGCCTTGCCTGAGATTTCCCTCCTCCAGAAGGCCCTCCTCCTGTGCTAGCCATATCTGATTCGCTACTGGATTCGGGGTCGATTGGAGGTTCAAAGGAAGGTTTCTTTGCTGGAGTAGAAGGGAATTCTCCTGGAGGTTGTGTATCTTCCGTGTTTGTAGGATCGCCCAGCTCTTTAGCAGAGCACCGGGGTTGTTTCTTTCTTGTAAGGTCTTGCCGTGGGATTTGCTTCCCACTCCTGGTCGTCAAAGACTCTATCTTGGGTTTGAGTTGAAGCCGAATGTGCTGTGATTCTGCCGCTTCTCTCCGCTAGCGTTCTAAGGTGGATATCAATAGGTTGATCAGGCCTAAATCCGGGGACAGGTTCTTAACCACTTGCTGAGGTTAAAAAAATGTAACGTGTTCGCAAGGTGCTAATCACGTTATCGGTAATAGGTACGATAGTTGGCAGGTGGCCTGCTCTTCCAGAGAGGAGGCGAGAGCTGAAAACTAAAGGAGGCTTCGAGGGCGTACTGAGGAACAAAGAAGTAACCTTTCAACCAAGTATATTGAAATACTGTCTGTCGAAGTCTGCCTCTTCTATCGTAGAAGCAGGCGGTCTTTAAATACACAAATCTGTTCATGTCTAGCATGAACAAAACTAATCAAAGGTATCAATCGATACACTATGGTAAAACTCTTTAAGTATCGAAGCGATACTTAAAACAAACATAAAGCAAAACCAAGTATCAAACGATACTTAAAACAAACCAAGTATCAAGCGATACTTAAAACAAAACATAAAACAAAACCAAGTATCAAACGATACTTAAAACAAACCAAGTATCAAGCGATACTTAAAACAAAACATAAAACAAAACCAAGTATCAAACGATACTTAAAACGTAAAACAAAACCAATAACCAAGTACCCGTACCAGTTACAATTCTCTTGGAGGCGAGGCAGACTGAGGAGAAGCTACTCAGACTCACAAGACCTAATAGGCTGAGGACATAAAAATGTTAATATACTATCTATAAAGCCTGTATTATGCATGGGTGCCTAACATATAAGCTGGCCACTTTGTGAATTTGGAAGAGACTACTGTAATGATAGTCAAGAAGACTGAAGTTTCAGAAAGATCTCTATTTAACTCTAGACTATCAGTTAAAAGATAAATGCACATCTTCTGATAGTGAAGATTTTATTACTTAGAGTATGAAGATGGTGTAAAAGACTTTAGAGTCAAATGATGTTTGCACTTGCTAAGACCAAGAACTATCGGGCACAGATTTAGGAAAGATACTTAGTTGTATAGTAGTTAGAAGTAGTCTGTGAACACTCAGATGTGGGATATAAATATCAAAGTGTCTTCCAAACTTTACAAACATTATTAAGCAATAGAGAAGAGATCTTAATAATTTAATATTATTATACCAAAGAATTTTTATTACAATATTTTTACTGTCCTTTCAAGTGAGCTCTTAGTAGTCATAAAGGAAAAGAACATTATTAAGCCTTCTTAGACAATCTCCCTCTATACTAAAGATTTCAGCCTAAGTCTTCTTGATACATACTAGAGTTTTCTTCTATCTAACAGTTAGTTCTACCAATTAAATTGTAACAAGTTTACTACTAAGAGTTAGTAATCTTCTTATACCATTTGTACTTTTTTTTGTGATACAATTAAGACTAATTTTATACTAGCTATGGAAGTTATGAAATTACTCTTTACTGAATCAAAAAGTTTTTGGGTTCACATTTTGATAGATTTCATGAATTTGAAATTGAGATTGAATTCAAAACCATACTTGCTATACTATTATCCCTGCTTCTCACTTTTCCAGAAAAATCCTTATACAATTAATCTTCTGATTCAGGCTATAACATCTACTAACTATATTCTAAAGCTACCTCTTTCTTCACTTATGAATCTCCTCCTATTTCTTCTATCTTATTCTTCTTTCTTAACTAGTTGCTAATTATTTGTTAAGGTACATAATATTAATCTGATGCCTTTTGCTGGACCAGATAGTGGTACTCTTCAGGGTACTGTAGTGGTATTTGATGAAGTTCTAGGAATGTCAGAACTCTAAGTTTCTACCTTTGACTATAGGTTTGTTTGGGATATTGGATAGGCTTTAATTCTTGCTGAGTTAAAGTTCATGCACAAATAGCCTTCACTTTTTAGTTCATACTATCATTTTGGGCTTTGAATTGGTGACAATGTAACTGGAATGGTAATTATTCTCTCATTCACAATTATCTACATTTCATTGGCTTTATATCCTGTTTCTCCTCCCGAATTATAACCTTCTCAGGCCTTTTCTCATGAAGCTTTATAGCACTGACACAGTTCCAACTTGATACAGTCTGTGCAAATTCATTGATCTCGGCATCACACTCAGTCACTCAATGTGTTGGCTGGATCATTTTTACCCCTGCAACTGAGCTGAAACCCCGATCTCCGATAGTGAATTTACTGGATTTTTGCGGTACTCGTACAAGAGCTCCTACAGTACCGTATAATCTCAAATAACCGAACAGTGTGCTATGTCGTTGGAGTTGCCCCCTCTGGTAGGGCTCCCGTGTTTTTTTGTCTTTTTATATCTCTTAGGGGGGGCCTGGGCGGCTCTTCTTTTTTTTTTTGCCGTGCTTTTCGCTCCTTTTCCAAAGCAGGGAATTCTCGACTACATAGCACACGGTTCGATTATTGGAGATTATACGGTAATTGTACCGGTACAATCGCTACCTATTCCGTAGTACATATAGAAAGTATAATACTACCCGCGCGCCCTGTAGAAAGCCGAAAGGCAGGTTGGACTATGGTAATGCCAACAATAATAATCACTACTGAGGCTTAAAGCCCTCTCGCAAGCCCCCCACCAAGAAAGAGACTCACCCGGGACGGCCCGCCAGTCGGCGGGGAAGGAGACACATGGTGCAGTGGCTCCAGGATGTTGTAATTGCCCCTCCTAGTAAGGTCGATTGTATTTTTTTGCTTTTTATTACTCATAAACCCTGTCTCAGCCGAGGGCTGAGAGACAGTTCTTTTTTTTTGCTTCGTATTTCCCCTCTAATCCAAAGGGGGAAATTCCGGACGTCTTAGGGTGAGGCCCAATTATTACAGTTTTTACGGGCATCATATCAATCAGGGTCAGCCAATGCCACTCGTGGTTCATTCCTAACGCTACCATAACTAGAAGATAAAGCAAGCCTCCATTTCCTTCCTGCCTGTTCAGGTGAACAAAGGCGGATAAGGACCTCCACCGTTTCCACTATCTCCACCACTCCGGCCACCTCCACCGCCTCCACCGCCTCCGCTGCCTCCATCATTCCCGTTGTTTGGCGATTTCGCATCACCTGCAGTCCGAGCCTGCCAGACCTTTATCGTTGGCTCGCGACGCCCATCCTTCACAGCAGCTTGCTCAGTAGCAGCAGCCCAGTTCGGTCTCGATGAATCTTGCTTGCTGGAATCCATTGTTCGCGTGCGGCCTCCTGCCGATATTAATTACTGACATTTGGCAAGGGTCAATGAGAAATACATACCAGTACTGGGTATGTTCTTATAGGATTATTCCGAGGGAGGATCTGTGTGTGGTTTTCGAAGTTAAGCTCAAATCAAGCTTTAGGATCTCAAGACGGTGGTCGTGAAAAAGAAGTGAGAGTAGAGACTCACCCTTTTACGTCGTGGATACGGCGTGAGAGAGAACAGCTTTACTAGTCTAAAAGAGCCTCACTTGTGATATGTGATCACGATAGTCATTGTTTGCGAGGCGTCTCCCAGAAGCACTAACAGTCGGCCTACCCGAGTGTGTTGCATGTTTCATTCTCTAACGCTATCAATCGATTGCATTGGATCACCGGCTGCCCGCCTGGACGCCACATCACCGATTGCAGTTGTTTGTGTTTTCCTTTTCATTACCCCACCCCTGGCGCAAGGCTGTGGAAATACAGTGGTCATTTCTGCATTATCAGGAAATTTGAAGGTAGACAAACAGCGGCACCCGTAAAATCCTCATGCCCTTCCAAGCACTCATAGCTCTTGGAAGCGCTTCGCTAGCCCTCTCCGCAGCTTCCACGGAGGTATATTCGAGAACAGTTGTCTGATGAGTTTTTGTTGCTCTCTCGTTAATGGGAATAGTTCTCGTGTTGTAGGGAGGGGTATGAGAACTTTAAGGACGCAGCTGTACCTATGAATGCTTTAGATATCATGAAATACTCTCAAATTTTGTTGCCCTGTTGCCGACTCTTCTTCCAAATCGATTGGTCCTCACCTAGGTTGAATTTTGGCCTGGAACAGCTGACATGGTATGGACAAACCTGATGAAATACAAGTACGTAAATAAAACCCCTTTGCTTCCGTGGTGCTCCGATCATGGAAATGCACAAACTTCATTAGATTCCACTATCAACAGTTAATTTTAGTAATATGTTAGGAAACCTATTCTTCCTGCTCGGTTTCCCTTATCCTAATAGCATATTGTTATCCCGTTGGGTGTGCGAACCAGTAAAATCCATTGCCCGGAACGGCAAACCACACAAAGCTACCAAATAGCTGTTATTGGCAGCTACTCCAGTAGATTGGACTCTCACGCCATAACTGACCCAGCACATCGAGAGCTGCTGAATTCTTAATGAATCACAGATCCAACCATTCCACACCGGGCTTACCGTGCATGCCAACGAATTCTACTGTTTCACATGCACACTGTGCAAGGGATAGGATGAAAGTTTTATGGGAACCCACTTTTCTAGAAACCTCACTTGATCCCATTTCAAGGTCTATCCAATTCACCCAGCACTTTCTAGGTGGCCTTTCTTTAGTTATGGACGAAAGTGCCCAATTTTTCTACCTCAAATTCCTCCCTCTCTATGAGATTGAAAAGCCATACCACAACTTCACCGATGGCGCAAGCAATATAACAACCGAAAAGCGACCACTGCAACCGGTTTTAGATATCCGTGGCAGAGAGCGGGAATTCACACTCGCTATCCATGGATTCGAATACCGAACACGAGCTCTACCGGTCGTCAACTGGAAAGATGAAGAGGAAATCAAGAAAACATATGTTGATGACCTGAAAGTGTTCGTGCATGAGTTGGTCCCTGAGACTGTGCAGAGGTGTGAGATGTTCGATTTCAGGGTGAGGCCGGGGTGCCAATGGGGATTGAAATTTAAAGCTGATAGCGACAGCTACGGAGCGTCGAGGCAATTCAAAGCAAGATCCCTATTCACCCCGGCTTGTGCGGAACTTACAAGCTGTCGCCCGCGCTGTTAGTTCACATTGGTGAGTCCCTCCTTATGTCGGGCAAATGGGGGGGGGGGGGATGGGATTACATGCATGTGGCAGATCAAACACCTGAGGGAGTTCTGGAATGGCTGAAACGGGAACTCGGTCGAGAGGAGACGGCCGAAATAGTGAAAAAGTACCGGGTGCGTGTGATAAAGTACGCTTCACTCCAATCGAGACCCTGTTCTATATGTCCTGCTCTGACTGTGGATACCTCAAGCATTTGGCGTCCACTCGTCGACGTTGTGGAAGATAACCCCTTGGCCATGTGCGATGCGCGAACGGTCAAAGCCTCGGACCTTGTCAGCTCAGTTCATGTCAGTAGCGATTACACCCGCAGGAATTATATCGTGAAGTATAGCCCGGACTTCAAGTTCTACTATCTCTCCAAAATGATGAAGGAAGAGGTATGTGCGTTCATGGTGTTTGATTCCTGCGGGGTCGGGGAAGAGCGGATAAGTAAGTTCAAACTACTTTAGGTTAGCTGGCTAGCTGGCCCATTGCGAGCACGCCTGACGCTAGACCAGGGACTCCCCCACACTCGGCTTTTTGGCACAGTGAGAAGTGGAGGTCGGATAAATATCCAAGAGAAAGTATTGAAGTGCGTATGCTCGTGCTATCAGCGCTTTAACTGAGGCAGTAGAAATTGTGGATACACTATTGCTCAATTTCTCTACTGGTGAAGGATGTGTGAATGACCATGGCCGTATCTCGGTTGATACACTCTAAAAGTTTATATCAATATACAATTTGAGATGTTAGTCTATGTGCCAAGCTTATTTATTTCACAATTTCATACTTTGATAACCAGGAAAATACCGTATAATCTCAAATAATCGAACCGTGTGCTCTGGAGTCGAGAATTCCATGCTTTGGAAAAGGAGCAAAGAATACGGCAAAAAAAGAGCCGCTCAGGTCCCCTAGGAGACACAAAAAAACAAAAAAACATGGGACCTTACCAGAGGGGGCAACTCCAACGACATAGCACACGATTCGATTGTTTGAGGTTATATACGGTAAAAGGTTTGGAAATATCGTAGAGAAAGCGCAACAGAAATCCATTCCTTTACACCCATAATAGGCCATAGTCTAGCCCATGAGCCCAAACACCATACGGTTAATTGTTCCGTCGAGGACTGGGCCGCGGGCCCGGAAGGCGGGCGCCTTCGGGTTAGGCAAGAGATAAAGTGCCTTCCAAGCCCCGCTGGTTATCTATGGAAAGTGGAGCGGCGGCACCAAGAATTAGGGTTGACGACCTCACTTGCCCAGAGAACGAGGTGGCTTAACTGCCCCACCCATATTTCCAATCTCACCTCTCTATTACGAGAAGAGGTTTGAAATACTTGTACCGTCGATTGCATAGGTATAATATGATACAGTAATATTATATTTGATGTGCTATGGCATACCATGGGTAGGTATCGTAGGGGTGGAGGAAATAGTGATGGTCCCTATGCCCGAAAGTTAGACCACCTTTTGGGGGGGGCTCTGGGACGTGCTCTGTCCCAAGGAAGGGAGAATCTCCAACCACACCCATAACTGTCCATAAAAAAAGGCAGCTTTCTCATCACCAATACGGTCACAATTCAATCGAGAAGAATCGTAGAAATTGTAGGAAACATTCAGAAATTAATACCAGGTGAGGGCTTATTTTTAAAAAATCTCTTTTTATGATATAACAATTTTAAGCCCCCCCTTTTTTTCAGGTGGAGTACTGCATGTTGCCCAACACCTGCGAGGGTGTCTGCCGTGACATCTCATGGGCGGAAAACACTAAAAGCCCCCGTGGGCGGGTCTGAGTTTCGGGCACGGGGAACCGTCCTTGTTTCCTCCATCCCTACCGAACCTATGGTACTCGTATATACCATAGTACAGTACAAGTACCGATCACAAGTATGATATATTAAAATACATAGTTACCCCTGCAATCGATTGTATTTCAAACGACTAAACCTTTTCCCCACTATTACGAATGAACTCTCCGGGAACCTACTCGAGCGCAAGACACCCCTTGCTCCCATCTGCTCCCATAAAAACGGGGGTCCTCGCCACCATGCGGGGAATCCCTTCCAAAACTTCATTATAACGAGGGAAAAATCCTGAACTCTCTGGCGTTCATTAGAACGACGTGAGACCGTACAAGTACTGGTGTATATGCTATCATACCTGACCGCCGGCAACATGCACTAGGGTAGGGGACGAGAAAATCGGGAACACCTGCGGCGGCAGAACGGGGAATAAGAGAATGATCAATGTGGCGGAGGGGGGTGGTGGGTGGTCTAATCAGGTTGTTGGCTGTTTTGGACCTATGATTGCATACCTGAGAACTGGTTTTACCCAGCTCCCGGTGATCGGCGATTATGCATGATTCCTGGACGAAAACACACACTTGGCTGGAGCGAACAAGCCCAAACCACTTCAATGAAAACTAATAGGAGAGGGAAAAAATCCGTGAGAGTGCAAGTTCTACGGTATTTATCATACCCATTGTGTCATTCCAAGCCACCGACACCTCAAAACATCATCACCCTGACTTCTTGTTGTCTGCCAGGCCCGCTTTTGTTCCAAAACTCTTCACTGTCTCTACCTAGTACTTGTATCGTACAGTACGAGTACTTCATACCACAGACGATCTTGCAGATCCTCTTTTCCGGTTTTTTCGTCCCTGCCGTACCCGAGTAAATTGGGAGCCTAGAAGAGCTCTACCGTGCTACCGTAGTAATGTGAAGTCCGATTTAGCACCTTGGTTGGGCTAGGTTAGATCTTTTGGATCGCCTTTCTGGTTTTTTCATGTTTCAGTACGGGTACGAGTACTCGGGCACATAATAAAAATCCTTTGAAATCTATGGCAAAAAAACAAACAGATGGGCAAAAAAAAAAAAAAAATCCCTTAGGGCGTCCATGTTTGGGTACAACCATTTCGTTCCGTTAACCTCATGCAAAACGACCGCTTCTGATCGTTTCGGAGCAGAAGGGCGACCACTTTTTTTATGAGAAATGGCCGTGAAACGGAAAGGTCGCATCGTTGCCAAACAGGCCCCAAGTTAATGTGCTGTCTTCAAAAATGGGATCTCTGGAAATTATCTCTCAAACCATATGTGCCGTGAGACCTAACCCTCCTGAACGGCTCTCCATCGCCGGGGTAATCGGGGTCATATTTCCAATACAACACGGCATCTTTCATAGTTGTATCCTTCCCACCAAAAGCAAATTTAATGACGTAGTAGTCGGGGGGGAATGCCGGGAGCCTTCCGCGCGAGACGCAGGCGTCATGAGTCAAGTACCAGAAGAAGGTGTCGCTAGCATAAGGCTTGAGTTTGAAGCTATCTGCGGATTTACCCATGAAGGAGATGACGAGATCGCCGTCGCTACCTTTCCAGATATCAATGAAATAATTGTTGAGAGAGTTATAGTATCGGCCTGTGTAAACATCCAGAGGTCGGGCGGAGACATCTGCCTGGCTGCTATCCTCCAATTCTTGCATGATTTGCGATAAACTCGACGCTGCTTCCTCGTAACCAGTATTCGCAAGATCTCCGTACTCTTGCTCACTGATTTCCTCTCCCAAGAGCGTCTCCAAGACGGCACTGGCAACCAATAAACCGGCTTCATTGAGCCCGCCAGAATTGGCGAGCACCACGACCGCACTGCGCGTCTCCGGGATCATAACTGAGAAAGATGTAAATCCCTGGATGATACCTTGATGGTAGATGGTGAGAGGGCGCGAAGAATTCTTTCCGATAATAGCTTTCCAGGGGGCCGGGCCGTCGATGCCGAAGGTGGAGGGAAGCTGTGCCCGGACCCACCCCAATGCATAACTATGTTCCCTGAGAGTGGGGAATGGCAGGCTTATCATTCCGGTCCATATAGCTCTCAGCTGTCTCAAAGGGTTTTTCCCTGGAGTCTGTTCCTCGCCGGTGCCAGCGCTCAATTCCGTCATCCCAGCATCGATAAGGGCCTTGTAAAACTTTAGGAGATCTGAGACCGAAGTGCGAAGCCCACCGGCAGCAGAAAAGACCCCATCTTGGCGCACAAGAGGCATCCCGAGCTCATATGTCGTGCGGTTGCGTAGACTAGCGTACGGTTTGGCAACGTTCTTGGTGTTGTGTGGGATCCGTGTGTCGAAGGTTCTTGTCATGCCAAGCGGCTCCATGATACTCTCCCTAAGAAAGCGGCCGAAGGGTTTGCCCGAAACCCGCTCGATTATTTGGCCCAGAAGCTCGTAGGCATAGTTATTGTAAATGAACGCCGTACGCGTTGGTTGAACCGTTGGGAGAGTATTGAAGACGGGAACAAATTGATCTCGCGGGAACGCTACCTCCCCTTCGGATAGCAGCCAGTAGCCATCAGGTCCCAGCACCCCGGTGCGATGGCTGAGGATATCGGAAATGGTAGCGTTACAGGCGGAGTCCCTCTCGTCTCGCTGATATCCAGGCAGTATATGTCGCACTTGCGTTTCCCAATCTAGGTCGCCCTGCTCTACGAGAATTCCCATCATGGCGGAGGTAAAAGCCTTTGAAAGCGAACCAACAACATAGATTGTGTCCTCATCAGGTGGTATTCGAGCAGAAACATCACGGTAGCCAAAGTTTGCATAATGAACGATCTCTCCCTCGTAAAGAACGCCCAGCGACATTCCTGCGATGCCGGACATGGCACATATTTGGCTGATTACGGTGCCCAGTGCCCCTAGTTGGGCCGTAAGGTTCCTGCTAATTTATCAGTAGGGGCGGCTGAAGGAGTTGATGACAGAAGGCCTAACATCTGGTGCGCACGGATTGCAGCGACAAATTCAACAAGACTAATGTTTCCTAAACTAATTGACTGGGGAAAGCAGGTAGTGCTGCTGGGCGAGAGTTGGGGCAAGTAGCTCAAGAAGGACACCTAGCAAGCACGCGAGAGGGAGTTGCGACGGGTTTAGATGTGTCGATATCGTTCAACTAGAGCTCAAATGGAGGGTATGATGGGATATGTAGCTGCCTAGGAGGATATGTATCGAATCTGTGGGCGAAAGAAGGTAAGGCCTAACGTTGGGATTACAAGTTCTGAAGACGTGCGCCGCACTTTACGCTTCTAGGCCGGGCTTACCATGAGGTGCTGATTCGTTTTAGCCGGGTGCAACTGTATGGTACAGGCACCGAGGAATGTTTTAGCACATTTAATTTAGGTTGACCCGCGAAATAATCTCTGTCTTGTTGAACGAAAACGTGTTCCCGGGTGCTTGTACCATACCCGCAGCCCCCTGTGCAAAGATTACTCTTATAGCAAAGCATGATACTCGAGCAGTGGGACGGGTATGATATGCAGTGTCATGGTTGATCCCTGTTCGGCGACAGCCTGATTTCATCGTGACTGCTCAGTGCAAGTACCCGACTCGAGTACTGTACACAATCGGATGCGCAACGTAAAAAGTAAGCTCACTAAATCACAATGGGGTGTGGCAGTATGGGTTGGGAAAATAACCAACGCCAGTTAATGAGACACTGCAAGCTCAGCACACAACCATGCTATACCGTGTTAGGAAACCACTATTCCTTCTCGGGGGGAGTTTTGGCTCTGATCGGAGATACAAGTAGCTGTATTTACTGGATTAATGGGGGTTCAATAAATGCATAGAACTACTAATCCTGGCTTCACAATACTTCAACTTCTCACCAGTTTTCAGAGAGGGAACGGTGATTTCCTGACACAGCAGGGTACATACAGCCTTAGCCATAGCAGCACTACCGGCATTGGATCTGGTTCGTTG